AGTAAGAAAAGTGAAATTAGCTTCAAATTTGAGACTCAGCTTGTTTTTGTCTGTATCCGTTGAGTTCTTGTGCATCCAATAGTTTGTTTTAATTTTTGTTTGTTTGACTTTTTTTGTTTTGTTTTTTCCCCAGGATAGAGGATAAAATCCACTGATATTGATTTTGATGATTATGGGTTTAAAAAACAAAGGATGTATGCATTAAAGTTTATTTTTATTTTTTTCACTTTATTGATTGATCAAATTGAGTGATCACATGTGATTATGTGATCGAAGGGGTGAGTGTTAGTATTAGATAGCAATATGGCCTACGTGCAGGACTCTACAAGGACTGATTATTTTGACTATGATGTGACTGTCTCTTTGTGACACGTACGTCTTTCGATGTGTGACGTGACAATGACTATATAAACTGTGTACTGCCTTTATTCTGTCTGAGAGAAAGAAACAAAGGAAACCACTGGAACTTGAGAGAAACTTAAATAAACTTCCAGAGTTTGGCGCACCACGATCCGTCTCTGTCTGTCTTGTTGGGCAGAGGCTGGACGTTGGCCAGGTAGATGGAGGGCAAAGGGGTCTGGAGGAGCGGCTACGAACGAGCAGACCGCCTCGCCTTCCCCGGTGTCTGCGCCTCCTTCGCCGACTCGAGGTGCCCAGCTCCACACCGCGGAGAGAACGCCGGAGACGCCCAGTCCCTCGCTCTGTTGGCGGCCACCGCCGCGGCCCGCCTGCCGTGCTCCCACCAGCCTCTCGAGTGGGACACTCGCGGAAGTTGTGCACCTCCGTTCAGGTAAAACGAGTGACCGTCACCCGCGTGATCCGAATGTGCAGAAGTGTTTGCCGATCATATTTCACTGTGGCAAGTGAATCCCAGACGAAAAACCACAAAACACAGATTGTGCGCACCAGAGCGTTCACTGCGGCGCCCTGACACGGCGCCATCTTGCGAGTCCTCTGTAAAAATGTTGGTTTTAAAATAACATGGTAAGCTGTAAAACTACCATTGAAGCTAGCGTTAACTAAACACTGCCTAAAAAAACGTTTCTAGAGAGACACAAGAAACATCTTATGAACACATTTTATGGAATTAATATTTCTTACACATTTATTTACGACCAAAATGATCAAATATAGTTATTTACCTGATTTTGAGCCAAATTGTTAATGTTGTTGCCCTCTGCCATGATCAACTCTGCGCAGCTCGATTGTTAATGTCTGTGAGAAGTGACGTATTATTGACAGTTTGCTCACTGCTGAAATTCGTATTCTCAAAAAGAAAAAGCAAGCACACAAAAAAAAATCGTATTCATAAGTACAAAATCACACATACAGTTTTATATTTTTTTATTCTTAATTACGAAATTCCATGTCTTTTTAGTTTGTATTATCTTAATCATGAATTCATAAAAATAAATTATGCACAAATACCAATAAATATGCACGCATTGTTTTTAGACATGCACGTCTTTATTGACAGTAACCTTACCCCGGCGGCACGGTGGCTGAGTGGATAGCACTCTCGCCTCTCAGCAAGAAGGTCCTGGGTTCGAATCCCGGCCGGACCAGGGCCTTTCTGAGTGGAGTTTGCATGTTCTCCCCGTGTCTGCGTAGGTTTCCTCCGGGTACTCCGGTTTCCCCTACCACTAAAAATATGTACAATAGGTCTGGCATGCGCCTCCTGTTCGGCGACCCCGCTCCCATCTCTGTGTGGAGTGAGGGGACAAGTGCCCAAAAAATAACAATTGTAAACCGCTTTGTGACTCTGGTCTGTGAAAGGCGGTATATAAATAAAGCTTACTTACTTACTACTACTTACTTACTTACCCCATACTCACTCACTTCAGGTGTGTGAACAGAAGCATGTCATGCAGCCTGTTGAAAAAACCAGGAATGAACCAGAAGTGTAGGGGAAAACCTGGACTAGATTTTAACCCTGGGTTACACGTAGCAACGTGCAAAAAAGAACCGTTTTCAGCCTGGACTTGATTATATCTAGGGTAGCCGCCTGTCTCACACCTTTGGGAAGACTGTTTTTGATTCTTGCTGCATAGGTCTGGAATGCTACCTCCCCCTGTTTAGTCCTGACTCCGGGCACCAGCAGGAGGCGGCTAAAAATACAGTTCAACGCAATTCAATTTGTTTTTGAATATCCCTAAATCACATTTGTTATACTTCTGGCCCCAATGTTTTTCAATTTGGCCCCAATCAAAATGAGAAGTGAAGTTAAGTCATTTTGAGAACACATCCATCCATCCATTTTCTTCCCCTTAATCCATTTCTGGGTCAGGGGGGGTGGCAATCAGAGCTGCACCCACAGAGCACCAGCCCCTCACTGATCCTCCTGCAGGTGGTGAGTACACAGGAGCTGAGAACTTTCAGCAGGGGCTTCAGGCAAAGTGGGATTAAGTGTCTTGCCCAAGGACACAGTGACAGCAGACATCAGTGGAAGTCGTCAAGTAGGTCTTGTGGTGGGCTTGAACCCACAACCTTCAGGCTCAAAGGCCAATGCTCTACCAACTGAGCTATTGTGAGAACACAAACACAATAAATAACAATGTTGATAAGTGTAATTGAGGCTTTTTCTATCTGCACTAAAATATCAAATTTTTGTTCTATAGATAGGACCTTAAAGGGGACTTATGTTGGATTTTTATGTTATTAATTTTATGACTTATTTTAGCTCCTACTAGCCCAGACACATAAGCTATTTATTGTTTAAAGTAGTACTAGAATTTAATATGCTGCTATCCAGAATATATAACTACAATATGTGTTTATAATATTTCAGGTGTTCATTTTGACATGTTCAGATGGATTATTTTAAAAAAACTGCTTTGAAGTGGCACCTTTTCACTTCCGCATAGAAAGCTAATTAGTGTTGGGCAAGTTAGCTAACTCTACTTGATATCATAAAACATGCTAACAAGGCTAATATTCGTGTTTACATTATGCCAGTCTCATTTTGCCTTAGATTTATTTACCACAATGTACATTGTAATATTCAAAAATGCTAACACCTATTAACGGTTTAATTAGCATTTTTATCAATGATTGCATCACATGTAGTCTATGTTTTCAACTTCTGCAGCTTTTTGTTCATAAAAGTAAAATATTTATTTAATTCAAGTTATTTTGATTAGCATTTATGGATATTACAATGTACATTGTTGTAAATAAATCTAAGGCAACCAAAGTGAGACTGGCATAATGTAAAAACAAATATTAGCCTTGTTAGCATGTTTTATGATATCAAGTAGAGTTAGCTAACTTGCCCAACACTAGTTTGCTTGAATCTCACAAATAAGGCTAAAAGGTTAAAAGAGTTGCACACTATTATGTACAAAACGGATGAAAATATGTTTATACCTTGTTCAGATGACAGTGAAACCTCCTACAGATTCAGCCCAGACTGCTGCTGCTGTGAGAGGTCATTCTCCTACGTCATCGCCGCCATTATATCAAAATGAACACCCGAAATATTATAAACACATATTGTAGTTATATATTCTGGATAGCAGTATATTCAATTCTAGTACTACTTTAAAGAAGCTATACCCAATTTTTTTTCTAAGTAGTTCATAAAAATGCTTTTTACTACATACAAGTTGTATCATAATACATAATTTAATTGAAAACTTGAGGTCATTGATTCAGCTGTGTAAGAATTACAAGCAGAGAAAAGTGCTGAGTAGAGTCTGAGCGGGCCGCTCTTTCTCCTCGTTCTCCTCGTTCTCTCACAGAACGAGCAGCGATCAGCCTGCGTCCTCTAGCCTCTACAGCGCTGCTTAACACTAGGGCTTCGACGTTAAAATTCGAATATAATTCTAAAATAAAAAATATATACATATTTGAACAAATATTAGACAGCTCTTATAATTCGAAATGTATTTAATGACTGCAAATAAAATAGTTAGCTCCCAAAGGTTTCACCGGGACGTGCTAGGCAGGTAACAGCTAAGCTAGCTAGCTGTTTCATGGTAACTTCCGGGTTTTTCGCAATCGCTTTTTGTCACATTAAAACAGTATTTTTGTCATGAAAACGTTAATAGCAAATTCTGAAATAGTCTGTGCATGTGTGTTAAGGATGTATATGTATACTGTATTGTCCGATTAACGTTTAATGGTGTTGATTAATAGATATGTAGTTTATTGAGCGTGGCTAGCTCCGCTAGCTTCTCTACACAGAAGAGTGTGTAGTGACAGGCGCTGATAGCTTGTTGTACTTGCAGAGTAATGGCAGTATTTTACACACCTGAATTACAAACAGAGATTGCATTGGGGCTTCGGTCATTATTGGTTTGAGAGTTCTGTTATCAAGAAAAAATTATCGGAAGAATTGCATTCAAGTCAATGGAGTGCTGCTGCTTTGAGGAGCTCTATAACACATTATAATTAAATATTAGAATATATTCGAATGTTTTAAATTAATACATTCGGACGCGAAACTAGCGGTATTCTTTTACTTATATATTGTGTTAGCAGTGCATTGCTTTAGTGCCATTTCATCAGTGATCGTTGCACAGCTTATAAGAAGTTGTGCTAATGCTAATGTTAGCATATGTATCAGATCGCAAATAAAACTAGGTGGCTCTGTGTTATGAGAGCGTAGGGGAAATGAGAAGCCTGTGAGCGAGTTGGGGGGCGGTGCTAAAAATTCAAACATTGCAGAAACGGGTATAACGCCTTTAATGTGTTATTCGCTATAGAATAATTATTAATACTGTTTTTGTATATTTCTGTTTCCTTGGCATACAACGTACAAACAGTAATCTCCGGCCAAACCTGCAATAAAGCTGATTAAAGATTCTCTGACCGGAGTCTGTCGATAGTGTCCCCAACATGTGTGAAGCACTTTACAAATAAAACGCTGCTATTTTGATCTACACTGTCTCTATCTATAGATGAAAAATGATGGATTTTAAAGATATCGTGACAATATATGTAACTATTATATTTCTTTTATTTCTTTCAGTATGAGAAGATTACGGATCAGGAGTATAATGGCCATAGGAGTTCTGTTGCTGCTGATTTTGACCTGTGTTCATATCAATCATCACATCTACCACCATGAGATCCCTTTAAATAACTACTTTGAAAACTTGACTGGAGAGAAGACTTTTTACGAGGAAAAAATCCGGGACTGGCCCAAGTGTGAACCAAACACATCTGCAGCCAACATCTCAGGCTTCCACACTCTCCCAGCTCATATTCAAAACTTTCTCTTCTACCGCCACTTCCCAACGCTCCTGGACATTCCTGACAAGTGCGGCGGCCCGGGAAAGTCATCTGACGTTTTTCTATTGTTGGTCATTAAAAGTTCACCGGGAAACTACGAGCGGAGAGAGGTCCTGCGCAAAACATGGGCCCAGGAACGGAAAGTCAACAATTTGTGGATCCGAAGGGTTTTCATCTCTGGGACCTCGGGCAGCGGCGAAGAGAAGATGAGACTAAACAAGCTTCTACGAGCAGAGCAAAACGAGAATAACGACATTATCCAGTGGGACTTTGACGAATCCTTTTTCAACCTGACCTTGAAGCAGATACTGTTTCTGGAGTGGATGGAGAAGAACTGCCCCAACACCAGATTCTTGCTAAACGGTGATGACGATGTTTTCGCCAACACGGACGCCATGGTCGAGTATCTCCACGGGCTGCCGGGAAATAACGGAAGCAGTCATTTATACACTGGGTTTGTTTTTGAAAATACTGGACCGGTCCGAGCTACTACCAACAAATATTTCATTCCAAAACAAATCCAAGAGTCCAACACGTACACACCGTACTGCGGCGGTGGTGGTTACCTACTGTCCGGCTACACGGCTATGGTCATTCACGCCATGTCCAAATCCATTGACGTCCATCCTATTGACGATGTCTACGTTGGTATGTGTGTGGAGAAAGCAGGACTGGCGCCAACCTTTCACACTGGGGTAAAAACACTGGGACTTATGATTAATGGGAAACAAGAAATAAACCTGGAGCAAGACCCATGCATTGTTAAAAATCTGCTGCTGGTCCACAGGTTTCTGCCTTCTCAAATCTACCTCATGTGGGACAGAATAAACAATCGGCACATCAGCTGTGGTGGGCTTTGAGATTTATATAGCAAAAATTCTACGCAGGGAAACTCGGAAAGTAAGCAATGAACTAATGATGATAATAGAGTAATAAGTAAAAGCATAATACATCACACAATACACATTTAAAATATTTAATTAGAAAACTTTTTTACAGTCATAGCTAAACGGAACAGTTTTGAAATTAGACTTGAACAAAGTTGCAGCCTGCCTCACGTATTTATGAAGAATGTTCCCAGTCCCTGTGCTCCTCAGAGCAACCCGGTCAGAACAGGGCCTTTCTGAGTGGAGTTTGCATGTTCTTCCCGTGTTTGCAAAGGTTTCCTCCGGGTACTCCTGTTTCCCCTACCACTAAAAACATGTACAATAGGTCTCTGTGGAGTGAGAGACAAATGCCTACAATTGTAAACCGACTCTGGTCTGTGAAAGGCGGTATAAGTAAATATTATTTACTTACTTTGGTATGGGGTGAGACTTGCAGACGCGCGTAAAAACTTTTTTACATGTTAAACCAATGATGATATTTCCACTTCTAGCGTTATACGCGTGCGTATGTACGACATGTGACGACGAAGTTGCGCTCTAAATTCGGTGGATTCTAATATTTTGTAGGCGCGCCCAACGCGTATCCCATTGGAAATCTCATGTAAAACATGATTTTTTTAGCGTCTAGACTCTAGCTCACACTGCAACACACAGCAGCTTGTATCTAAACATCAGCAGGAGGAGCAGGCAGGTTTTACAGTGATTCTGGACAGTAAGTTTTTTTGCTTTCATCAAGTCTGCGTCTGGCCAAACCTGCGCAACAGGACCATGAGTGACAAACACATGCATGTGATTTGTGTTGCTCTACATAGTCCTCTGGCCGGACTGTTCCTCTTGCCACTTGCTCCATCGACTTCACAGGGAGGAGCATCAGAAGACGGCGGACCTGCGCGCACGGCAGTGTAGATACTCAAAAAAAATGATACGCGCAGAGAGCGCGAGTTAAACGGATAGCGCTGTTTACGCCGACTGTGGAAATTCCCCGTAAGCAAAGGATATAGGGCTGCGTGCGGATGTATCCAGCTGAAGATGCGCCATACAGGAGCCATCTGACAGGACAAGAGCAGAGAGCCGCTTGCAACTGCAGGGGACGACCACAGGACCCAGAGGAGAGAGGCGGCCACAGACCCCCACCAGGCCCCCATAGAAACCTGGAGGAGAGAGGAGGCCCAAGGCCCCTACTAGATCCAAAAAACAGACCCCCGCAGCCACAGCAGTACCGCCGCTCCCAGTGCAGGAGGGCCCCTCCAGAAGAAAAACACTGGGGGATACTAAAACAAAGAGTAAATACTACCTGAAATTAACAATAATAAGAGTAAAACAGTACCTAACATTAAGGGACAAAACAGAATAGTAGATTACATATATAACTAAGAACAAAATAAGATCTGTCTAAAACATTAATAACATACTAATCAAAAGCTATCTAAAGGTGTGTCTTGAGCCTGCTTTTAAAAATAGAATGTTCTCTGTTGTTCGCTAGCTGTCGCACGGTGAACTCATCTTCTCATCCTAAAAGCCATAGCCAATTACATTCCCTTGCCACACTCCTCTCACCGTGACTTACTGACAGCAGAGTTATCCAGCGCTTACACGTGTCAAACTGAGCTTGTTGAATACATGAAGCGTCAGATTAGCTTTGAGCAGCTCCTGGGCCTAGAGGACACACACATTAAGTCACTTGTCATGTTTAGTGTAAAAAGGCTGATGAGAGAGCAGTGCTGTGACGTGTAAGGCAAATCTCTGAGACTAAAGCCTTTGGGAGCTAGTTTTATCTTTTAGCAGAAATGTAGCTGTGAGTTCTTCCCATTTTGTTAGCCAAAGGTGAAGAGGCCGATTTGAACATAAAAGCAGCGGTTCACACTGTAACAAGAAGTGTTGCTAAGACGGTTTCTAAAGAAAAACTGGAGTTTTCCTCACAGACATTTAGGAGTTGCACTCTTGATAAATAAAACACAGTCTTAAGTTTTGTTATTATTTCGCAGTATAGAAATTCCTGATTGATACGGCTTAAGTCCTTTAGATTATGGGACTAAGATTACTAGAGGGAACGCAATTAAGATTCTATCGTCTGTTTCAATCTGGTGGGCCCTCTTAACAATATAATAACTTTCCCTTCTCACAAAATAGGTCTAATTAATTCATTTCTTGTTCGTGGACTTGTGAGTCAGGAGACTAAAAATGCTGAGTGTAACACAAACAGTTACTGAGCTAGGAGGAGTTTGTCTTTACAAGAAAGTCAGTAGGACCCATGGAGAGTTAGGAGCCATGCCTCACATGAGCATTTCCCTATTGGCTCATGGATCTATAATGTATAATGGATAGGGTATTACTAGCTTATAGCTGTCCACCCAAGGGCACCAGCCGTGCAGAACTAAATTCACGATGGGCTACCCGAGATCTCAATGTAACTAAAACAGCTCGACTCAGGATGACAGAGGAAACCTTACAGCTTTCATAAAGATCAGGATTTGTGAGGATTTTAGTGTTCTTGTCTTCCTGAACTTTTTTCTTTTAAATCCTTCTGGTTTTCTTTAAATCCACACTTTACTGCACAAACTCTGCCTCTTTCCTTCCCGCATCTGATCGCTCTATCATGCTCTGATCAGCAGTTCTGATGGGTCCGAGCGCGGGGTGGCCTCTATTGCTTGTGCATAAGAGCCACACAGGGGGGGTATTAGGCGCAACGCATCATGGGAGATTAATCCAGCTTCGCAGAACCGGGAGGACCAGGACGATGTCCTATATAGCCGAGATTCCTCTGATTATTGTCAGTTGCCCGTGAAGTCCATGTGCTCCTGAGGACAAGCCATAAATTTGAATAGGTCGCCATATGGATCACGGGGCTTGATTGGGCTTCTTGAGGTTGCTGGTTAGCATTGAGCTAACAGGTTAACACTGTTCTATCTGTATTTTAGTTTAACAGATGTATCAAATAGCATTGTTTTCTCATTGTGTCGGGTGGTATATTGTCATGGTCTATAGGGGACCTTTTCCTTCTACAGTTGTCTTGACCTTTTGAAAGAGACAACTATATTTTCCCGAGTGCCTTAACAACACAACGTCCATCAAGATATGAGCTACTTTTGTTACCCTTTCATTCAAGGATTTTTCACACCTATGTCAGACATCAAGCAGGAACACCCACAAAACCTTGAACAGGCGCCATGTTTTATTATTTTTCCTTTTCTCAAAGTGTGTGTGTGAGTGTTGTCTGAAGACCGACAAACTTACCATGGCAATTAACCGACCTTGGCTTCCCTTTACCCTCTTCTCCCTCTCTCACAAACACACAGACATACACACATGCACACACACACCATAATCGTGGTCTAAATCGGGCTGTCGTCCTGTAGCGTCTTCTTTCTCTCTCTCTTCTCATCACCTGTCACTCACTTCTTTTTTTTTTCTCCCCACGCCCCCTGCTGATTTGATCTGGTTTTTTTTTTTGCTTTTCCTTGTTCTATAAACACAACCCTTTGATTTAACGGAATATCATCAGATTGATTACCCATTTTAATCTGATTTGGGATGTTTTGTATTTATGAGAAAATAGAATGTGAAATAATAACTTTAGTAGAAAATATATGGAAAAAAAAGAAGGGATGAAAGGTAAACGGCTGTCTGGCCTGTAACTCTGTGGGCTACCACCAGCAGGAGGAGTTGAATTTGTGCCTTTATTTTCCAAATGAACAGGTGCAAACAAAACCAATTTTCACTGGAACAGTTCGCAAAAGGGGAGCATGATGTCATAGTGGTACAATAGACATATGCACGGGGAGGCGTGACGTCATTTCTGTAAACAAAGAACGGCTCGTTTATTCCTGTCTGTGCTAGCGCTGTAGCTTTGTGGTGAGTTGTCGTGCCGTTTTTTAGTAATAGATTGATACATCAGCTCTAAGACCCAAAAGTGTCGACGTGCTTTATCTTGAGGAATTGATGTTGGCCACTCAGAGAGATTAGTTAACTTTATATACGCACAATGGACAGCATAATCAAAGAGCATTACTGTGTCCCAAAAAGCCTAGCATCCTCCCGTTTGTATCCTGTTTAAGCATTATTTAGGGAACACGTGGAAACATTGGTGAACTCACGTGAAACTCAAGCCGATCCCCACTCACCGGAAGTCAAGTGTGTTATACTAAACGGTGGAAGTTTGTGGTGCATAGCGCCTGTTAATCATACCAATTACACGACTGAGCACAGAGGCATCGACTGTATACGGATTGACAATGCTAACTGCTCGCACAAGGAAGCCAATAGGGGAAAGTGCTTTGGTGAAGATTGGCTCCAACGCTTGATTCTTATTGGGACTTACATGTAAAAGTAAATTCGTTACATATACATGGAATTAATTGCGTAGTTCTGAGTTGTTTCCAAAGGTAGGTATTCCAGATTGCAATGCAGCTTAAAGCTGCACTAACTGACATGGGATTTTGAAGCGGGGACTCGCTGGCCTCGCTCTTTCTGTCCCCTCCCCGTCCCACGAAGCTATCGCCCCCCACACACACACAGTGTTGAGACGGAGCTAGCCTCTCCCAATATGGCAGGAGGGGCCAACCCGGGCTCGTGAGCCGCATGCGCTCTTGGCTGGTTCCGTGCGGCTCGTTGGCTTTCACATGACAAGCGTCAAAAAACGCCTCGGTAGGTGGCGCTGCCATTCATTCTCTACTGTAGTTTCTGACCCATAGTAAAGGCCGACTTCACTCCACTGACCGGGCCGCCAAAACAATCGGACGTCGGCTACGCAATTCTGAATTGGTCAAATGCGTTGGAATCACTCTCGCAGCTGCTGCCTCAGCTGTTGCAAATATCATAACAAACACACGTTGCCTCGACCCATGACGTCCGTACGGAAACAATTCCTTGGTCGCTGGATGCGGGCAACACTTCATCAGCTGAGGAGAGGACACCAGCGTGAGCTCGATGGTTCCACCGAAACCAGAAGGTGTTTGTGGAGCTAGCGCTTGAAGGACGGAGCAGAATGAATTCCCACGAACATGAAAGATCACAGCAGCAGAAAGTAGAGCAGAACCGAAAAGTTGGAGGTGGTTTGCCCAAATGGATTAAAGTTACGGACATAGGCTAACACAGCTCACACCGGCTATATGCTAAAACAGCTAGCACAGCTACCCAGGAGATGAGCCAGCTCTGCAGGTGAGAGTCTGTCTTCAATCACATGCGAAAGATCTGGTCTTACACTGAACATGTGTCTGTGGTTCTAAATCAGCTAAAGTGGTGGTTGTTGTTATGTTGTCAAAATCTATATCTTTTGCTAAATGCCAGTCAGAGAGTGAATCATGGTTCTATAAAGACAGTTGTGTTTCTGCCTGCTTTTTTCATTTGGAATCATAATTGATGTTAGCTGGACGTGAGATTCTGTATTCTGAAGTAAATTTTAATGTGCATTTTGAACAAGGGTGTGTGTGTGCGCGGCACTTATCTTTTTTGTTTTTTTGTATTAAATATATTTAAATTGCTCATAAATAGAAATTAAATTGTATTCTAAGTACTCTTAATGCATTTTTAAGTACTAAAGTGGAACAATTCTAAGTATACTTTGTACATTTTAAGTATATTATTACAGGTGACAATCTTGTCATCGGTATTAATATAATCTATTGCACTTCCATTGAAAAGTGTACTAATGGAAAGGCTCTTCTATTAATTGAAAGTGTATTGGATTTGCATTGCATTTTATTGTAATTTCAAATATTTATATGTGTTTATAGTACATTAATCTACATCAATTACACAAAGACTTCCACCATTACAAATATACTTTATTTGTATTTATGTTTTGAACAAACAAAAAATACATTTAATTATAAAGGAAATGTACTTAGAAGTTACACCTTGAACTTTTTGATCTTAGGTTAAATAAATTGGAAGATAAAAGACCAAAAACAAAAACAATGTGACCTTATTATTTCAACCAAAACATCTATGGCCTCTTATGTGAGAAATGTTCATTGTTGCACTTTCTTCTTATGGCAGCACGAACTTCAGTATGACACTGTGGATCCCGGAAATTCTTCAATACAGCATGCACTTCATACAAGTTATCAATGTATTAGGGGAAGGAAATCAAATTTGTACAGAGCTTTTCACATGACACAGGTCACGTACAGCATTTCAAACAAGATATGGGAATGTTTTTCACTCACTTGTAAGCTATTTGAATATCGTTAAAAAGTGCTTTCATTTCTGTAATCCAATTTATAATCTGAAACTAATATGACAGGCTCATTACATGCATAGTGATATATGTAGCCTTTAATTTGATGCAATTTTGATCATTATGGCTCAGCTTGTAAAAATTCCAAATTAAAAATTTCTGAAAAGTAGAAGATTTTGAAAATGGACTGTAAACCATAATCATCGAAATTATTTGAAACAATGGCAGGACATAATGTCACTTTGCATGTAACGAGTGTCTCTACATCATATATTAGTTTCACGTTTTATGTTGAATTACACAAATAAATCAACTTTTGCACAATATTCTAATTTTGTGAGTTTCACCTGTATATTCATGAGTGTACGCTGAGAAGCAACAGACAGTTCAACCACTATTAACCACTCATAAGCCCTCATGTTCTCCTATCCAGGAACTAACTAGACACAACTGTGTTAGTATTAACCCTTATGAATTTCAAAGATACATTCCAAAAGTACTTTTCATGTTCTTAACATACTCTGTTTATAGAGCATTCCTCAGTCGCTGTCATTCTGGTTGTCAGTCAGCTTTTTAGAACTTTGAGGTTTCATTTAAATAGGCATAGTCCTAAACAGCAGATTGCCAACCAAAAGTCACATGACTGAGAATGGACTTATTTAGAATTGTGTATATTTGAAGCACACCTACATAAGACACGTTTAAGTTCATATATTAATATTTTTTTCTTTTCTTTTTTTAATTAAGATTAACAGGTGAAATTACCTGTAATGGCCTGGACTTTGATCACATCTAGTTGACCTTTGGCCATTTCTTCTTTTCCATACTTTCCAGTTAAAGTTGACTTTGCCAGAGTGTCCTTTGAAAAAAGAAGCACCGCTAACTCTTGGGCGAAAACGGTCATCCGTGTTCGATTCAAACGAAGAAAAGCCCTTTTAGAAACTGCCACCGTCTTCCCTGGTAGAAAGTGCTGTAGGGAAACAGACACAGAAAATGAAAATAAATTACATTTTGTCTTTGGCTTTTCTGATTGAATCATATTTATTTAAAAAAAAATCATTTGTTCGTGGTATACTACATGGTATAACAGTATACCTACCACTTCACTATCACCATCACCATCAGCATCTGAAGAAAACGTTGATGACACAGAAACATTGGTTGAAGAAGTATGGGACAGTGATGTGTTCACTTTCTCCACACACTCCTTCATTAATCGCAGTGTCTCTGGGAGTTCTTGAAAAACAGAGAATGTACGAATAATATATAAACCAAATTAACATTAGAATAGACATAGCTTTTCATGAAAGAGCCACAAAACATACCACGAAGACACCCGATAATCTCTGCCATTGATGGCACAGCGTTATCTTGAGCATCAGTCCCTGTCTAGAGAAAAATTTAATTCCAACAATCAAAACGAAGACCACAAAAAATAACATTAGAACTTACCTCTGGATTGACATGCAAACTTTCTTCTAAGTTTTTTATCTATAACACATTAATCATGTTAGAATATGTTATGGTAAGCCAAAGTCCAATATGGTTTTCTTATATTAACCACAACTTACAATCTGCAAAGGGGGTGGGCTCCCAATGTCTGTATCATCTGAACTGGGCTGCGGTGAGAACTGCTGTATCCGCATTCTTTTCTTTAGCAAAAAAAAAAAACAAAATTACATGTAATATTTTACACCAGGGATTGTTAATGTGTAAATAAATGACCCAACCTTGCGAACAGGTGTCTGGCAATCGTCAGAGCTGCTGAACAACTCTTCAGATGCTTGCAGAGACCTCTTTTGTGAAAGTGTGTCTTTTAATTTGGCGAGAGTTTTGTCCCTTGCTTCTTGTCGGGTAGACTTTTGTTTCTTTTTTTTATCCTACAAAAACAATAGATATTTATGTTAATAAAACACCTTAATATAATAAAGTGTTATGATTTACAAATAACAAACAAAAAACAAATAAACAAATAATTCAAAAATACTGAGGTAGGTAGGAAGGTAGATTATCTAAATTGTACATGTAAAACTAATGGCGGCTCTCCATGGTAACAGTCTAATGTCAATTGTTACATTCCACTAGCCTGGCTAACACCAGACTAAAATCACAAGTGATATATTGTTGTGCAGTTCGAAATGATTCGAGCGCACACAGCAGCATGACGTTAGCAAGGTTAACATTCCACTGGAACATTACGTCCTATAATCCAGATTGTTTAAATTAATGTAATTTGTAATTAGCACTCACTAGTGTACCCTTATATTTCATACTAATGTTTAAAATGTAAAGGTGTACGCAACAATAAAAACAAGGCTTACCTGGCCAATGTTTGCCTCTCTGGGTTTCATGTCATCTTTGGGCCAAATGTCTCCTCCTATAATGAATTTGTTCTTCTTTTGGATCAACTCCTTAAAAGAATCTGTAAGTACATATGTAATTTTGTACATACACAAATAAAGACTAGCGTTAACTTTTTTGCAGCTTACCCCCAAAGAGTAACACTTTGACGGCCTCCGTTTTCTTCGGCTCCTTCCTCGACGGACATTTGAGTTCTAACCAATTCTCATCGGTCAAATCAGGCCGAGAATTAATTTGATTGAATTTGCCAATATTTCCAACTATTAAAGAAGTGCTTTCCACTTTGACGACCTCGTTGTGGAAATAAAAAATCGGAAACTTGAACGGAAGCATTTTCTCTTTACCGTAAATCTAAGTGCGCTAGGTTGTTTCAGCTCAAGTGTTGCTTTTTGAAAAAAAACTAAGATGGCGGCGGGCGCTGGGCGCGCACGGCGCGCAACGTACGTACAACGTACTCAAGGCAAAGTGTTCTTATTGGCTGAAGAGAAACTTGCTCAAGACCGACTGTTTTCATTGGCTGTATCAAATATGACTGTTAAACTTCTGGTTGAGTTTTTCCGCTCTCAATTAGTTATCATGGCGCCCCGTGTGCTGAAAGGACACTTAAGTTCGAGTTCGTGGGATACGCCAAGAACAACAAAACATAGAAAGATTAAACAGAGAGAGGTGAGTAAAATGTGTGGTTTCAAGTACAAAAAATATTTATTCAGCTAGATGCTGTTAGCATCTGTTAGCATTTCAGTATGGAAGTAGTTTAGTAGCGGTTGGCTGTTCCCAGCTCAGTGCTATTTTCAAATGTACTGTGTGTGCGCGCGCGCTTGTATGTATGTATAATATATTTGCCGAGACATTGTTCTACACTGCTATATTTTCAAGTTACAATTTGAATTAGTTGTGAGTTAAAAGGTTCTTACCCGTTCAAAAATGTCCTAAATTGACTTTGGTTTACTTTCAGATAAAAGGAAAAGCATCTTACAAGAAATATCTGATTCTGCAATCTGCACTTCCTAGGACTACTACATATAGAAGGAAGTTGCTTAGAGAGGTATTCAGTTAGACATGCATTTTATACGAAATGTTAGGATTGTATCTTTACCGTACATTTTATTAATTTGCAGAAAACTGTGGACTGCATTCCAAACCAAAAAGAAAGGGAGGAGGAGGAGGAGGATTTGATGTCATGGACACATTCAATCGAAGAGTCCGAGAATGCTGAACTACAAGGATGTGTAGATGGCATAACTGTAAATGATATTGGACTAAACATCGATAGCGAAAATAATCAAAGTGAACCTCAAGGTGAAAAAGACAATGACAGTTTACATATGCAAAATACATTTGATGGAGTCAGAGAGGAGAGGGAGCATGAACATTCTGGACATACAAGTATTGGACAAGAACACATATTAAATGAGGTAAAGTACAAATTATCCACTAATATTTAAAAAAATATTGTTGGCTATGTTAAGAATATTGATTATTATTATTATTATTTTTTTTTTAAATCTATTTCAGAGAAGAGATGACCTTGTGTATCCTGGTGCCTCTCTCACAAAGGGAGAGAGCCTGCTTTTGATCATGGCTTACATACTTCGACATAATTTGAGTGGCGTGGCCCTTCAGGATCTTCTCACACTTTTCAATGAACATATTCCTGGATTGGTGCCAGCCACCTCATATTTGTTCAACAAAGCTTATGGTGAGTTTGGAGAGTACCTTCCCCATTTTTACTGCACCGACTGCGAAAGTTACTTGGGACCTAAGGAAAAGGCACCAAAAATCTGTTCCTCATGCAAAGCTGAAATTGACTTGGAAGAGAATATTAACGCTGGATCTTTCTTTTTCGTAATGAACACATCGGACCAAATTGTACAAGTTCTTGAAAAAAGCAAATTACAAGCAATACAAACAACTCATGGAATAGTATCAGATATAGAGTGTGCACAGGAATATAAAAAACTAAAAATAAGTGGACATATTGGACCAGATGATGTGTCATTGTTATGGTACTGTGACGGAATACCTGTATTTAAAAGCAATAATGTTCAAGTTTGGCCAATACAGTGTCAGATCATTGAACTATCACCTAAAGACAGACAGCAAAACATAATCGTACCATGCCTGTGGTTTGGGAAAAGTAAACCAAACATGCTAAGTTACTTGAGTGCTTTTGTAGATCTTGTAGACTTAAAGTGCTTGAAGAAGTTGGCCTTACTTGGAGGGACAGTGACAACATTCAACATAAAAGTAGAGTGCATGCATTAATCTGTTCAGCAGATTCAATAGCCCGACCCCTTTTGAGAAACACAAAACAGTTCAATGGAAAGTATGGCTGTGACTTTTGCCTCCACCCGGGTGGTGGCCCTTATGTGTGGAAAACACCAGAACCAGCGTTAAGGACAGCAGAAAGCCATTTTGAGCATGCCATGCAAGGAACAAGTGATGAGCCTGTAATGGGTGTCAAAGGACCCACACCACTGATGGAGCTAAAGAGCATGAACATGATCACCTCTTTCATGCCGGAGTATCAACACAGTGTCTGTCTGGGTGTGACCAGACAGATCACGTCTTTATGGTTTGATAGTAGGCACCATAATCAGGACTGGTACATTGGATCTAAGGTCAGTGATGTAGACAAGGAGCTACTTGGAATCATGCCACCCGTGGAAGTGACACGAGTACCAAGATCAATAAATGAAAGGAAATTTTGGAAAGCGTCCGAGTGGAGGTCGTTTCTACTTTTTTATGCTTTGCCTGTTCTTAACAATATTTTGAAGAAAAAGTATGTTAATCATTTGTTTTTACTAGTTTTTGCAATGCACACTCTTCTTCAGGATGCCATCTCAGTGAAGCACATTGATGTTGCAGAAAAGGCTCTGCGTAAATATGTGTTCGATTTTGAAAGACTTTATGGCACGGTCAATGTTTCATACAATGTTCATTTGCTAATGCATTTGGCTGCAAGTGTTCGTAACTGGGGCCCTCTGTGGGCGACGTCTACCTTTCCATTTGAATCCTTTAATGGGACATTGCTGACATTTTTCAATGGAACAACACATGTTCCTATTCAGATGGTCAAGAGGTTCCTCAAGTGGAGAGGTCTTTCAAGCAAGGCAAATGCTGCGATGATGAATGCTTGTGACAGTGTAAAGGACTTTTTCAATAAACTACAGGGTAGCTCTTCCTTAGTTCAGAAGTCAAATGCTTTTCAGTGTGGTGTCAGAGGAGTTGGCTGCCCCAAAAGGCATAACACATCTATATTGCATAGAAAATCCATACAATGTTACACAGGCATGATGATTAATTCTGGTTTATTTTATGATCGCTTTGTTTGTAGCGGAGTTCTTTATCATTCTTACAATAATACAAGTCTTAAAAAGAGAATTAATTCTGTTGCACAGTTGAGGGATGGACAATTTTGTGAAATATCAACACTAATTCATTATTCATCTGAGAACGAAGTTTCCCATGAGAATGCTGGCATATGTGTGTTGGTGAAAGAACTGAAAAAAAGTGAAAACAATGCTTGGAAAGATGTATGGCTGAAGATATCGTCTACATTTGTAACTGAGGTGTCCAGGACAAATAATGTATTTGCTGTGGACCCCTTGTCACTGCAGCGTAAATGTGTAATGTTTAGTTCCATGAACAAATTCTTTGTTGTCCCCCTTCCAAACAGCATTGAAAGAGATTAAAATAAAGATTTTAATCAACTGAACAGTCTTCTGTTGTCTGGCCTATTTGTAGAAATCTGTAAATCCAAATAGGAAAGTTGAACTTGCAATATTTTATAGTATTTTTAACAATATGAAAATTGTATGTAAACATACAACACAAAGGTAACTTGGAGTTAGCATTGTTAAAATTAATATTAACTTGATATTTAATATATTAAATAAGTAGGTTGATAAGAAAATACATTTGAATTGTGTTTGAAAAGAAAAGAAAGTATTTCTTTTTTTGCATTATTTACATATTATCAACATATTTACTCTAAGTATATTTAGAATAAATATACAAAAAGTATATAATGAAATAAATCGGTTTAAATATATATACAATGTTATACTTTTTATGCATTTGAATTATACTTTTGTAAAACATATTTTTAGAAAGTGTTTTAAAAATATACTTACTATAAAATATGTTCGAACAACAATTTTACAGATATATTGCTGTTATACTTGAAATGTATTTCTTAAAAGTACAAGTTCATTTTATTTAATTAAAAATATATTTTTGAAAAGTAAAATAGAGCAACAATACACTTAAATATATTTCTTTTTCACCTGGGTACATCTGTAGTCCCAGAGCAGGTGGTTGTAAAACAGTAACATAAAAGCAGATGGAAACATGACCAGACATTATCAGATTATCAAATTACTATTTAATTTACCATGAGTTAGAATAAAACCACCCAGCCCCATTATTCATGTTTTCTAAGATAAGATTCTCAGACCGCGCGTTGAATGGGTGAGAAACCTTCCTTTGCTTTGACTAATCCCTGTACGACTGAGGGCTTACACAAACCTAAACGTTCCATGGTTAACTCGAGCAAACGCTTTAGATGCGTCCAGAAAACACATGAACATAGTTGATCCTTGAGAGTTATATTTGTCCAACATCTCTTTGAGGACATAGATGCACATGTCAGTACCATGTTCAGGCTTGAAGCCAAATTGGTTAGCAGTGGTGTAAAAATATGGCTCGAGTTAAGAGAATACTCTCCAAAACCTTAGACACGGAGCTTGCTTAAAGCAATTGGGCGGTAGTTGTTTATGTCACTGAGTTTACCGGTCTTATTTTTTTCTATTACAGGGATCAATGGACAAAAGCGACTGTGGCAAAAGGCCATGAACCAGAAACCCAGTGAAGCAGAGGGCTAAGAGGATATTGCCGTGTGCTGGAAAACTTTGCATGTTCAGAAGTCATTATCAGGTTTTGTGACATTTTCCCTCAGCATGTGGTTCCTCAACATTTTCCACCCAGGTTTACCTTTATGGTTAGTATTCCTTCTTTTACATAAAGACTTTCCAGACTTAATGAGGGTATCTACAATTGTGTCATATAAGGAGCAGAGTTGAGCCCCATGCTCAGGATCAGTACAATTAATGTTGCGACACAGTACGGCACTTTTAGGGAGTATGACATCCTCAAAAAAACACTCAGTTCTTTGGGTGTAAACATGCACTTCTTCACAGCTAAGGCTGAATCAGTCCGGGCACTCACATAAACTCTTCACAGGTACATTTACAGGAGTTAATTTGGGGACATTTTCTACGTTACAGTACACAGTTAATGGCATATGGTCACATGTAGTCATGTTATAATCAATATGCATTTTCACAATGGATACATGTGCATCAGCACTACATATGCAGCGATCCAACCATGAGGTGGTGTGTCATGCATCACTAACATACGTGTAGCTTTCTGCAGGCAGAAGCTCCTGACTGGACAGGACAAGTCTATTTTCACAGAGAAACTGTCAAATGATTTCCAAAAGAAGAGAAGAATCTGAAATATCTGCATTCATATCTAAAGTAAAGTTCTATTCACTTGAGATGTGCATTGCTCTCTTGTGTTGGAAATGTTGAAAGAAGAACTGCAGTTTAGACCAGGATCATTTATTTGATCCCACATGAAAAATATGTGCCAGGGCAGGGCAGGCGCAGTACGGAGGATAGTGGTTAGATTCCTCCACCTGGACTACATATAGTCATAGTACATAGTACTTACTCGCTGGTGATCTGATAGGGCCTACATTCTCGATCAGATGCCCGATAAAGTGATGCTTGCTGCCATCGTTGTCCTGGAGGTCGTGGAGATGCTCCACCATGTTTGTGTTGACAAAGACATCATCGTCGCCATTAAAATGGAAGTGAGTTTTGGGGCAGTTTCTCTCCATCCACTCCAGAAACAGAATCTGCTTCAGGGTGAGGTTAAAGAATATGACACATATAGTGGAAGTGCAAAAGTCCCCAATATCAATACAAGTGAAAGATCATGAAAGTGCTCTGTTTAATCTGCATCTCAACAAATTAAATCTTCTGCCAGAGGGAAGAAGCTGGAACATGCTTTTCCAGGAGCCACAAAAATCTTTAAAAAACAGGAGAATGACAGAGAAAATAAGGAAGATAATAACGTTTATTATGAAACATCCTTTTCATAATAAACGCTGGTCTCACTTTTTTTTAAAACTTGTTTGTATTTTATTGTTACTATTTCCTTTTAGTTTTGTAAATGTATGAATTGTGCTAATAAACTTGCCTTCTCTGCAACACATGTACATACTGTGCATGCATTTCTCGTCTGATTTAGTTTCCACCTTTCCCCGACACCTGCAGAATGAATTATTTACAGCCTCCTCTACTTACACTAGTTTCAACACCAGCAACAAAACAAAAGGGAAATTTCCACTTTAAAAGTCGTTATTTTGAGTTTTAAACTCAAAATTTTGACTTTCTGTTTGCTTTTTTTTGTTGTTGCTTTTTTACATGGTGGAAACGAGCTTCCTTGCATAACTGAGATTTACAATACATTTATTTTAAATAACCAAGTATCAACTAGAAAAAGGAGTGAGAAGTAAAACTTATATACTCCCACCCCTGTAGGCTATATCTTGTAGTCATCAGTTGATTTTTCCGCATTTTGCAAATTAGCAAACATACTTCACCTAAACCTATGCTAGAAGATACAAATAATAATAAAATAAATAATTATACATTTATAGTCTCTCTCTATACATATACTGTAGAAATAGGTTGCATTTGGTATTTTGAATGGTCATGAGTATTGTGTATGAACGTGCATGGTCTTTGGTAAATGCATAGATGGTTAAAGTGCCTTCTGTATCATTGTGAAAAGGGAATTTGCTGTGTTTTGCATGTTTTTCTTTTTGTGATTAATTCAAATTTGCATGTTTCTCTCAGACAGAATAAAGGCAGTACACAGTTTATATAGTCATTGTCACGTCACACATCGAAAGACATACGTGTCACAAAGAGACAGTCAAATCATAGTCAAAATAATCAGAGTCCTTGTACAGTCCTGCACGTAGGCCATATTGCTATCTAATACTAAGTCACCCCTTTGATCACATAATCACATGTGATCACTCAATTTGATCAATCAATAAAGTGAGGGGAAAAAAAAAAAAAAAACGTACAAAAATTATTAAAAAACAAAGAAAATGTATGCATTAAACTTATACTCATCAAAATCAATATCAGTGGATTTTATCCTCTATCCTGGGGAAAAAACAAAAACAAAAAAAGTAAATACATAAACAAAAATAAAAACAAACACTATTGGACACAGTAGAACTCAGCAGATTCAGTCAAAACACAGACAAAAACTAGCTGAGTCTCAATTTGAAGCTAATTTCACTTTTCTTACTCTATACTTTTATTCTAATGATAATTGTTTACACTACACTTATTTCACTGTATTGTTTTCACTTTTCTATTGTTAGTATTAGATAGCAATATGGCCTACGTGCAGGACTGTACAAGGACTCTGATTATTTTGACTATGATGTGACTGTCTCTGTGTGACACGTACGTCTTTCGATGTGTGACGTGACAATGACTATATAAACTGTGTACTGCCTTTATTCTGTCTGAGAGAAAGAAACAAAGGAAACCACTGGAACTTGAGAGAAACTTAAACTTCCAGAGTTTGGCGCACCACGATCCGTCTCTGTCTGCTTCATCCCTGACAGATTTGGTGGAGGATGTGCGGCTCAGTGTGCGCTATTCTCTGGTTGTTTTGAGGGAGTTTCCTTTGTTTTCTTTTCCTCGGCGTGAGAGACCGGCATGCTGCGTCTGGGAGCGGAGATTCCAGCAGGCTGGAAGAGCTGTTCCTGGATGCTTCTTGTCGCTTCTTTCACTTGCGTTTAAATTGAATATTCCGACGCTTGTCCGAGAGGTTGGCAGACCTCTCGGACAGTCCGTGCATGCACCTGTTTGACAAGAATAAGGTAAGCAGACACCTTTTTATATGTAAAGTCTGCATAATTGGATACTAGCTAAATTTTGGTCTGTTTTTGAGGTCTGTCGAACTCTCTAAATTGTGTTCAAATAAGTGAGGATCCATAAAGTGTATTGGCCATAAGTGAGGATCCATAAAGTGTATAGGATCCATAAGTGTAAAGGCCATAAAGTGAGTGAAGGATCCTAAGTGAAACCATGGTATAATAATAAAAGCAATAAAAAGGGAAATGTGTTAAAGAGGCCTTTGTTACAAAAGCTTTGAAATTGACGAATTCCAGGCTTGATAAATGACAAAAGAAAAGAAGCAACAATATTTCAGTGATCACGGTTTAAATTACATACAGAAAAAAGGGGTTTTTGTTTTTGGCGTGAAGAGTTCACCGGAGAATGCAGAGTTTTATCTACAGTTAAGCTATGAGAGGGCTGTATCCAACAGTTGTTTTTTGTTTTTGTTTTTTAGAAAGAGATTTTGAGTTTAAAGTAGTTTGCTACCTCAATAAAATAGAAGCGTAAACGTTAAAGACAAGAGTGCCTTTTGTTACAAGTGTGGAAAGTGGCCATTTCTAGACTTGGATGACAAAAGTATAAACTAAAACATCAGTTATATTCGCTTAAAAAAGTAATCTTGAAAGTTCTTCTTCTTTCTGTTTTTGCATTTTTGCTAAAACACTACCTTCTGCCTGTGTGTGTGCGCGTCTGTGTGACAGGAACCCCCCCCGCCCTCGCTGCTGCTGCTGCTCTGATTTAAAGGAGAGCTACTGCGTTTCGGATTTTGGCTTTTCATAGTTTTTATTCCGTTAAATCTGCGAAATTTGCGATTGACACAGTTAAACGTTTTTAAACACCATTAGTAAGTTTTGAATATTGTTTTTTGAAATCCAAAGATTAGTACAAAAAAGCTTTGCTTTTCTTTTTAAATCTGCTGCTTATTTTTTGAGTCCATTATTGTATCTCTGATATATTTCATAGCCGTTTGTGAGAATTTTTTCATGTATTTTTTATTTTAGTTACAAAAGCCGTTTTTCAAACATTTAAATTAGAATCTGTGTTCAAAGTGATTATTGATTATAGACTTCGTCTAAAAAGAAAGAGGGAATTAGGATTAGCTGAAAAAAGTATTATATTTGTAGGGTGAGAAAATGTCGATATCACACATAACTTAAGTTATGTACCTGATATCGGAGAATTGGATAAAAACAACCATGTAATAAATACAATAATTGATAATAGCTTTATTTAGGGGCACCAGGGAATAACTCCCAACTGATAACGTGCATATGACGTCACAATATCAATTAATTGGCTCATTTATTGATTAAGTAATGTCATGAGTCCTTTCATTATTTAATTAGCTAATTAGTCCAATTCTCTTCAATAGAATCTGAAGGTAGTGAATTCTTTTACAAATCAGTGACCCAATTTCTGGAGTTAAAAGTACAAATATCACTTTCAGACAAAGATGGTTTTGTAGATTTAATGAAGTATACACAATACAGACTAGATATGAAATATGCAAATTGTCAAGAATACCATGAAGGAAACGTTGATTTCAAGATACATTGTTAAAATGCTAGGCTAAAGTGAGCTAAGCAAGACGTTTGTCTATGAATGGATTGGTATAGGCTGAGACCTGCATGTGTTCAGCCTTGGTAGGAGAAGTATTCTTTGAAGTATAGGTTTTAATAAAGCCAACAACTGTGTGTAGCAAGAGAGCAGATCATACAACCAGAATAGCCTTGGGTGAATAGCAGTCCTTGGGTCTTGATGGCGTTAGATGGAGGCTTCTTGTCCCCAGGGCCTGGACCATGCGGCTGCATCATGCGGTCCTCCCACGATCCACAGTCTAGGTGCCAAAACTCAGCAACTTCTTCAGGTTGAAGCTGGAGGCTATTGAAGGGTTGTGGAAGTCCTCTCAAACGTGGAGCTGAGGTTTGAGGCCATCTAAGAGGCCCAAGGCCCCTTGGTTGCCTGAGCAGAGCCCAGGGCAGAGCCCAGGGAGGTCTCGTCACTCCGTGGTTCCAAAGCAGACTGGTTTGTCTTCCCTTGTTTTAGAGTCGTTGGGGGAAGGGTGTTGCCATGGCACTTATCTTAAGACATTCTTGCCCACAATAAAACCTGAACCACAAGGATTTACACACAGTGGAGACGGAAGTTATAATATGTCTCAATATACAACAAAATGTCTTTGATTGAGGAAAGGGGTCATTTTAATTTATCCTACATATTATTAAGTTAAACTCTACCCCAATTCACATTGCAAGCGGTGACTTTTGTTTTTGTTTTGACTACACGCGTGACCTTGCTCCTGTTGCTGCCCAGAGACAGGAGGAGGCAGCTTCGACACAAAATTGAGTTTTATTGAACCAAATCCAGTTTAGCTGGCGTTAAATCTTTTGTTTGATTTCAGGTTATGTTTTAATGTTTTCCAAAATAATTTCATTTCATGGCGTCTTTCAAGAAACCCAAGGACGCATAGATAATTAAACACACAGTACAAAAGTACATAATACATATTTTAAAGTTTGAAGGTTTTTTGAGATTTGAGTCTTGTTTTTTATTAAGAGTTTCTGGTCTTAAAATGTCGCCACTCCAGAGCTGAGTGGGTGTGAGAGAGACCGGGGTAGAGAGAGGTGTCTGGAGACGTGATGGGTGGAGCATCAGGGAGAGACCTGAATGCGAGTTGAGTGTGTCCAGTTGGTTTACATCACCACAGTGTGACCTTTGACACCTGCAGGTGGTTCGAGGAGTCTGGAGACACAACCCCAAAATTCACACCCTACACACAAATACACATACACATACACTCACACATTCACATTTACACATAGACACATGAAAAAGCAGAACATGAGAAAAAAGCATTTTAAAAGTTCACCCCAATGTAAACAAACTTTTTATTTATCTATCCCTTGAA